AGATAGATAGATAGATAGATAGATAGATAGATAGATAGATAGATAGATAGATAGATAGATAGATAGGAGCTGAAACAATTAACTGATTATTGTAATAATCGTCAACTAATGTAGTAATCAATTAAACCTTAACTGCACTATAGAGACGGTAAAACCTGCCTTTAGCTGATAGAGCGACACACTTAGAGCAGGAATTATAACAACATTACAAAACATATTTACACTTTGTATTTGAAATAAAAAGAAAATTGTTTTCTCCTTTCAATCTGCTCTATAATCCAGAACTCCTCAAGTGGAAAAGTTTTAGCTTCACCTGATTTTTTTAGTAAAAAACTTTCTTTAGAGAACATTAGGCTATCTGATCGTTAACCGAAAAGATTTTCAACAGATTAATCAATTTGCAAAACAAGCATTAGTTGCAGCCCTAATATATATAAGTAATGTTTTATATTTATATATATTAGGGCTGCTTTTATTTTTCGAGTATATATATATATATATATATATATAAAACGCTGTCTTTAAGTGTTTAAAAAGTGTCCAGAATGAAGCTAAACCGACCGACCTGTCAGTGATTAAAGTCGCTGCTCCATTTAGAGTGGAACCGGAACATGGAACTACTTCCGCTTCCGGTTTGCTGAGTCCGCTTAGTTCTGCTTAAGCTATTTATTTTATCTTCTTTTTTCTGTCTCTTATTCTTTTGATTTCATAAACTTTAGTTTTTCGCTTCCGTTTAATCTATGGTAAAAATAAATTAATTTAACATTTCCATGAGACACCGGAAGTGACGTATCCTGTAGTTTTTGTGTTGTAAGCGAGAAAAGGTCACGGAGGAAGTTAGCAGCAGCGGCAGAACCAGCAGCTGCAACATTTCACAGGTTTACTGGTTTTACTGGTTTAAATCTGCACCGTCATTAAACAGGTGAGCGGACCTGGTTTGGTTTTTAATTCGCTGCTTTTACAGGTTTTATTTATATTTAATTCTATTTAGACAGATTTAATTCCTGTATTTCACTGTGATTTGAGGAAAATGGAAATCGTTAATAAATGTTTAGTTCTGATCTGATGGTCTTTTCTGTGGGAGTTTAAAAAATAAAGCAGATAAAAGATAATTTCATGTCTGTAAAGTCAGACTCTGTATCCATGGAAACGGAGGAGATGAAATAGATTTTTCTTCAGGATTATGAGGAGATGTAGAGACGAAGCTTCAGGAACTGCGGCTGCAGAATCCTGCTGCCACCAGTGCAGAGCTTAAACTGGCAGCAGGTGAACCTGAGGGCCTCCTCAGACCACCAGGAGAAGCTTCTGTCCCAGAAGGTCCTTTAGGATCCTGATCCTGTCCTCTGAGGCGTTGCTGCTCCCAGGAAGTGAATTTCCTCCCAGATCCAGTCTGCATTTAAAAAAGTGAGAAACGATCCAAGAACTGTTTGCTGATGATCTACGGACCTAAAGATGAATCTGGAAACTTCTTTCAAATTGAGCTGGAAGATGGAAAGAACTGAGGTGTTTATTTTTAGAACCGTTTTGTTGGTTCTCTAATTTATCATAAATTTTGTTTTTTTTTTCTTCTGATGCTTTTAGAAACGTCTGCTGCTGATAATCCAGATCGGGAGGAAGTGGTGCTGCGTTCAGGGTCCTCTGTGTCCTCCAGTCAGAGCTGCAGCAGACTGAAGGAGCTCTCTGATTGGCCGGCAGCAGCTGAAGCCGAGGAGGAGCTGATCCATGAGGCAGGATGCCAGCAGCTGCTCCCTGATCAGAACCTTCTCCACCCGCGGCGCCGACCCCCACCCCCCTGAGATGTCCCGGCACAGCAAGCTGCAGAAGCAGGTCCTGGCTCTGTACCGGCAGTTCCTCCGAGCCGGGAAGGAGAAGCCGGGCTTCATCCCCAGAATCCGAGACGAGTTCAAGGAGAACTCCCGCATCAAGAAGACGGACGTGATGCACATCGAGTATCTGTACCGACGAGGCCAGCGGCAGCTGGAGCAGCTGAGGGACGTCAACACCAAGCAGCTGGGATCCTTCTCCAAAGGCAAAGAGCCCGGCTGAACTGGACCCGATCCGGGGAAGCAGGAACCTCACAGACTGGACCAGAACCCACCCGGCGCTCTGATAGCATGAGACGTAATAAATGAAACTTTGAACACCTGAACATTATTCCCGGTTTCTTAAACGATTGTTCTGAACTAGTTGGTTCTGATTCCACTTCTTCTGCTGTTTCCTCTTTGCTGAAGGAGATTCAGTGGAAGTGGAAAACATGGAGGAATGATGCGATTCTATTTAAGTCTTTTTATGAGAAATAAATCCATAGAAAGAATCAAAGGCTCCTGGTGTGGATTTGGAATAAAGACGACGATGTGTTTAAATAGTGTTTCTATGGTAACCAGCTCAGGATTGAGGTGACCGATAGGATGGCAAAGATAATGATCATGTTAAATTTACAGTTATCAGAAAACCTGAAAATTAAAGAAGGAAAATAAAATAGTTTTATGGATTTAGAACAACAGAAGAAGAACTACGACGTGGAGGACGCAGCAGAAAACTAAACCGATTAAGATTCATTCAATGTTTATGCAGAACAAATAAAATCAAAAGACACATTATAAAGATGCTAAAATCTACATATTTGTTTTAACATTACAGAATTTGACTTTAATCCAGCGTTCTGTCAGACCAGCATACTTATAGTCAATAAGCGTGTGCAAGACGTCAGATTTGCATATGTATGTTAGTCCCGTTTATTCCTTTAGTTTTATACGAAATAAAGACTTAAAACTACCTGAATGGGCGTGTAACCCTTTAGTCATGTCAGATCAACAAATGCTTCAAAAATAACAGAAGAGAAGTAAATCATAGATAAACTAAAGAGATCATTTATTGGGATAAACTAAAGGGATAAAACAAAAAGATAAACAGGTGTTGACTGTATTTAAAAAAAACAATAATTTTATGCAAATTTAACAAGTAGAAAACAATCACAGGGCGAAATGTACATGGATTTCAATTCAAAACAACCTCTTAACAGATCAAGTCAATTCGTGAAATGGAGCATCATCAATCAAACATATAAATAATGAAGATGAAATAATACAGAACCAAGACACCATAAACATTACACCATTTACACACCTGAATTGTGTCTGAAATAAAATAAAATAAAAAAAAAACTGTACAAAAGTAAAGTAATAAAATAATAACAAAGGGCAATATTATATCAACTTCAAGCTTTCCAATAAGGATGATACTTTGACAGCGGGTTTGGAATTAGTCTCAGAGACTTATAATATAAATCAAAGTCATTTTTTGTCTTAAAATACCTACAACTGTGTATGAAAAATGTTCCCATCAGTATAAGGTAATTTCCTAAATATTTAAGAGTCTTATTCTCACTTTCTAAACCAAATAAAATACTTGTGTCAGATAGAGGTGACAAAACAACGTTCTTACGTATTAGCCAACTTTGGAAATCTTTAGTTGGCTGTATGCCGGGTAAACTCCCTCTCTGCCGGTAGGTGGCGGTACTGATTCCTACCAGCAGCTGTTCGCCTCCAGAAGAAGAAGAAGAAGGAAGTAAACAGGAAGTGTTTTTTTTCCAGCAGGTTTCCTCTTCGTTCTTTAAAGTTTGTTTGTTTTTAATCTTTAGCAGCTTCATTTGAACTTCAAAGGTTTAATTTGATCAAAGTGTGATTGATCTGCCGCCATGTCGGGTTCTGGAGGAGAGATGAGCAACGCGGAGCTTCTGCAGCAGGTTAGAGAGAAAAACCTGAAACATGAGGAGGCTGCTTTTATTTTTATTATGTTATTATTGAGCTTCTGCTTTAGGTGCATCTGTCTTTAGATAGAAAATAATAAAAAAACAAACTATATTTATGGATTTTCTTGTCTAAAATAATCGACCGGAGGTTTATTTCTCTGGGTTTTTATCAGAAACGCAGAAATATCAAATTATGGTTCTTAAGATTCTCAGTCATCGAGGTCAGAGTCGAAATAAATAAAAAAATTCAATCCTCTGGACTTTGTTTCCAAGTTTGAAGACGTTTCTCTTCCATCCAGGAAGATTTTTCAATTCAAAATGTCAGAAATAGCGTTTAGTTCCAGGTTTGATAGAGGGGACCAAAAAACTAAGCCTTGTTTTTGATTAGAAAACATGCAAATAGAACCTGGAAAACCAGATCCACCCCTCCAGATTATAATCCCGTCGCTTCTGGTTTAACAGCCTGTTTTCATGGGGGCACAGAAAAGCATGACACCAAAGGAGAGCTGCATGACGGGAAACTTCCATTCAATTAGGTTGAATTAAAGTTGTAGCTATATTAATATCTATAAGATTAGATAAAGCTGTTATTTGGAATATAAGGTCTATATACATTCAAAATTTAGGAATGTATTTCTATAGCAACGATTCACATCATGTCATCTCAGGTCATTTTCCAGTTCACCAGATCATCCAGTCAGATTGATTCAAAGTTTTCTATCTAAGGAAAACCAGCTGATTGCATCGACTCATTGACTCTTCAGCAATCCCTCACACTAAGCATGCTTGTAGCGACAGTGGAGAGGAAAAACTCCCTTTGAACAGGAAGAAACCTCCAGCAGAACCAGGCTCAGTGTGAGCGGCCATCTGCTGAGGCCCACTGGGGTTCAAGGAGACAGAAGCAGACATAGAAAAAGAAGCATAGATACAAAAGGCAACTGTCAACCAGCTCCACAGGCGGCCCCGTCCAGGAAACACACAGCCAGGCAGACGAGCTCCGAGCCAGCTCCCATGTCAGAGGATGAAGAGAGCACATCCAGTTAGTCACAGTCAGAGAAACAGGACTACACTGGAAAACAGGCCAAGCTCCAACATCTAGAAACAAAGGTGTTGATGGCAGCAGCACAGCTGATATTTCTCTCCAGGATGGAGTCACAGCCAAACAGGAACAGACCAGATGAAGCTACTATGAGAAAAAGCAGAGAGAGCAGAACGTTAGAGATTGAACTAACAGATTCTGCAGAGTGGGAGAATAGAGATAGAATGAAGCAGAATGATGAAGAAGGCGTCCCTATGTCCTCCAGCAGTCTAAGCCTATAGCAGCAGAAATATAGAGATAGCTAAAGAAGCTCAGAACCCAGCAGAGAGCAACATGTGGATTCCTCCAGATGTTCTGCTGATGTTTGCTCCAGACCAAAACCTTAGCCGGTACTGAAACATGGAGGTTCTGCTGCAACCAGAACGGACCCACCACCCAATGTTCTGGTTGGATGACAAAATGTGTGAGAATCTGCTCAGCTGGTTCCAGAAACCCGAGGAGGTCCAAAGCAGGGGTGGTTCTGGTTCTCCTGTCGGTTCTCGTGGTTCCGTTTGGACTCTGCATGTGCTCTGGTTCTGATGGTTGTGTGCGTCCTGCAGGTGGCGCTGCTGCGGTGGCTGTCCTCCCAGTCGGATGCAGACAGGAACATGCTGGCGGCGCTGACAGGAGTCCAGGTCGGCAGGGAGCTGCTGAACCGGATCACCGGGCAGGACAAGGTGGACGCCTACAAGGTGAGGGTCGGGTCAGAACTGCTGCAGCCGGACCGGTGCTGTGGGGCTTTGTGACGGGGTCTCTGTGCTCCTCCTCAGAGGGACTGCATCCTCAGCATCGCAGACTTCCTCCAGAAGAACCCGCAGGCCTCGCAGGCCCAGATCAACGCCCAGCTGGAGCAGAAGGTTCTGCTGTTCGCCGCTCGGGTCCGAGCTCTGGAAACGGCTCCGCTCCTCTGAGCTCTTATTCCGACAACCAGAACCACAGCGTCCTTTCACAATAAAAGCCTCTCCTTCTGTCGCCTTTGTCTGCAGTAAAGCCTACAAGACATCTTTAGGTTAAATGCTGAATAAACTGGAGCCGATCGTCACTCAGAGGTTTGAAGCGAATCCCTGAACTCCTTCAGGCTTCGCTCCAACCGGCATGGAGACGTTCTGATGGATCCTTCAGCCTCAACCAGCTTTACTGCTTATTGTTTGACTTCTGATCCAGTAAATAAAGTTTGAACAGAAGGTGAAACCATTCTGGACTTCCTGTGGTTCTTCTCCATGCAGAGGAGTTAAATATTCAGGTTTATTATTTCTCTCCCGCCAATTCAGTACAGCCAATCAGAGGAGATTCTGCAGTGAGGTAATCAGATTCTGAAACTGGGTTTAAATGGAAATATTGATATACAGCAATAATACTTTGGCTTTTAGATTGGCACGACAGTTTAAGACTTATTAAATAAAAGTCTCTCACTTATAAAAAAATATTAAAGCGGGGCATTGAATCAGACCATCGGTCGGGACCCAAAGGCCACGCTGGAAAAAAGGGAAAAGGAGGTAAACATTTCTGGCTGGATAATCAGTAAGAAGTTAGAAAATATATAAATGATACAAAATGCAACACGAGAGAATATAAAACCACTAACGCTGATTATGTTCTGGAATTTACCAGATCGGTGCCAGTTCACGAGAGATGGGTGCGAGGTAGGTTCACTGGGCAACACTCCAGTAAAATTGTGTTAGCCTGATGCTAACATGTAATACTGTTCGTTGTACGGTGCTGTGATGAGCCTGATCGCTGTTATTCTGTTCTGCACAGATAAACGTCTCTTGGCCATCAACACAACGCAGAATCGAACCACAATATATGAAAGCGGCTACCGAGGTTACATGAGCTTTTGTCCAATTTAAGGCTTCATATAGTGAGAATCTTCCCATTGACTTCCATTCATTTTCTATGCATTCTACATCTATTACTGGTCTATAGATCCAACCTTAGTGCTTAATCTAAGCCCACAGTGAGGAGCAGTAGAAGGTCCGCTGACGTTGAAGCTCGGATCAAAGACTCGGACTCGGACCGGTTCCAGCTTGTTTATTAAATTACAAAGGTCATGAACTCGGCCATCATTTCATCTCTGGATCAAACACACACCCACGTTGCCCCCGGCAACACACAGACGTCACAACAGCCCCAGTTTGAGCGTCGCAGAACCAGGACTGAGGATGAGGAGGACGAAGGAGCAGCCAATCGGCTGAAGGGGAGTCTCTGATTGGCTGGGAGCAGACAGCAGGGGGCGCTCTCCACTGGTGGTTAGGATGCTGGGATGGAGCCGCTTAACGGTACCAGAACCAGTCCTTAATCAGAACCACTGACAGGTCCAGTTAGCTTAGACAGAACCAGGAGAAAATGTCTGAACATGAAGAACTTCATTTAGGTTCTGCAGCCTCTGGGCCCAGAACCAGAACCGAACCATCTCCTCATTCAGAACCAGTCAGCTGCAGCGATCCGATCGGTCGGAGCGCCGAGTCCGACTTCAGCTTGAGAAGATAAAACAAGAAAAATGAAAACGTCACAACCGACTTCAGGAACAACACGGGTCCAAACACTAAAGTTCTGCTCTGTGGCCGGTTCCGGCTGCAGACAGGTCCGGTCCGGATCGTCAGTTGTTCTCGAACAGAGACAGCAAGTCGTCGTTGTTGTTGGGAAGGTCTGGCGGACCGAGGTAGGACAGCAGCTCGTCCGGGTTGGTCAGTTCTGGAAGCAGCTGCAGAGAAACAAACACCAGTCAGAACCAGAACCAGAACCAGAACCCGGACAGGATCCGGGTCAATAACAAAACCCAGACAGGCTGCAGAACAAACCGACTCACGTCCAGAGAAGGTTCTGGAACATCCGTAGACCCTCCCAGTCCAAACGAGCTGTCGCCTTGGAAACGAGGGTTCTGGTTGTTGCGCTGCATCATCTGACCGTTACCATGGAGACCCTGCGGCTGCTGCTGGGGGAGAGAGGCTCCATGGGAGGCGGAGTCCAAACGGGCCGACATCTGGGGAGGGGGAGATGAGATTTGAAGCCAAGCATAAAACCGGGTCAGAACCTGGTTCTGATGAGTTCTGGTACCTGGGAGCCCAGCGGATGGGGGGGAGGCTTGTCGGGGGTGAGGAGGGCACTGGACAGCTCCGGCTGGTAGGAGAGGGGGGGCGGGCCGGGGGAGGAGAAGTTCCTGATGCTGGGAGAACCGGGCCCCCCGAAGTCCGAGAAGGTGGCAGAAGCAGCGGGAAAAGACGGAGCTGAGGGAGCAGAAGATCGGATCAGAACCGGACGGCGGCCATTAAAGCCCGGACCGGATCGCATCACCAACCTGATCCCGGGAAGTCCGGCGTGTTCCGGCCGTTGTTGCCGCCTGCCGAGGACAGGGAGGGGTACGGCATGGGAGAGGAGGTGGAGGGAGGGGCCGAGGAGGGGGCGGGGCCTAGGGACGCGATCATCTCCATGACGCTGGGCAGCACCATCAGACTGGGGCTGAGCGTCCGGCAGCGCTTCAGGACGGGCCCGTCCGGCTCCTCCTTCACGTGGACGTCGGGCTTCACGGGAACCGGCTTCCAGCTGCAGACCGGGTCGATGGTGATCTCCTCGTAGTCGGAGCTGAAAGAGGAGAGAGGAGTTCATCGGCTAACAGGAAGGTTCTGCCAAAGGTGGAAACACGCGGAATAAATCCTCCTGGATTATACAGCAGATGGAAAAACATTTTCTTTCATCCTAAATGCAAAAAGTTTATATATTTTTTATAACCTTGGTATAATAAGTGGGTCTCTGTCAGCTAAACGCAGGTTTTACAGTCTCTATTAACCATTAATTAATTACTAAATTAGTTTACGATTATTTCAATAATCAATTAAACATTTTTTTCAGCCAATCAGATTTAGTCTTTACTTATATAATTGTGCATGTGTGTGGATTGCCATGCCAGGGCGGTGGGTGGATGGGTGTACAAGTGATTAAACACTGAATTTGACTTTTGAAAATCCAATACCAAAAACGGCCAGAAGATGGCAGCAGTGCAGCTGTATCCTCCACTTGCATGAACCACATTTCTCTTAATATCCATCTTTGCTGCTAAGGGTTGTGTTTGGCGAGGAAAGCACACACCTTTATCTTTAACTCGTAACCACGGTCGCTTATCGACGCTGGTACATCAGCCGTAGCTAACGTGTAGCATGAACTGCAGCTTGATGACCGGAGTCTAACTCATGTTAGCGTAGCACCTTTTTGCTGCTGGATGCGTAAATAAGCGTTCCTGGAGCTCAGCGTGCCGGAGTTCATGAACTGCATTAGGTCCACTTCCTGCAAATCCGTTCCATCGTCCTTCTCTCCAAACACAAAGTTTATTTATTTATTTTTTGACTTTTAACACGTCTCTCCGTTGAATGGAGCCATAAACAGTGCGAGGTGACTTTCCCTTCAGCATCGAACCACAATCTATCTGGAGACATGAGGTAGAAACTAGAGGAGGAGGTAAACGCTTTACATTCCGCCCCCTTCTTCTTCTGATTGGCTAATAATGTTAGTTTCAGACGCTCCTTTGCTACCATTGGCCAACAAACGCAAGAGGGATTTCATTTGTCTCTTTTTTTTTTTTACCCACGGGGAATGGCTACAAGCCGGAAATCCGTTCTGGAATACTTTAATCCCCGCCCACATGACTGCCTGTTCCTTCTCTACGTGTTTTATTTCCACGCTCCTCCTCGCCTCTGGACCCGTTTCTGTCCTCATGGCATCTTTTTTCCCCACTTTGGAGACGTTACTCACCAGAGAACAAAACCTGCCTGTGATTGGCTACTTTTCAGGAAATCCTGCATCTTGAGTTGTGACATGTTGCCAAGGTAACCAGCAGAAACTGTCTTTGCGTTTCCAGCTAAAATTTGAGCTAGCAGAAACTATCCGGCTATTTGACTGCAATGTTTTATGTAGATGTCCTAAAATCCTTTTTAACAGATGCCCTACAGCCAATCAGAATGGAGCATTCATCCAGGCCCTGGTATAATCAAGACTTTGCTCACTGAAGGGCAGCGGTTAGCCTGAAGTTGCTTTGCTAGCAGGAAGAATAGAGGATCGCAGGCCTTCAAAGAGAATAAAAAAAGTCCAGAGGGGAGGAGGAGCGTGGAAATAAATCCACAGACATGCAGAGAAGGAACAAGCAATCATGTTTGGGATTTTTAGGTTCTCTGTTTAAACATGGAAAAGGCTAAATATGCAGGTGAGTTAATGAGCGTCTGAGTGAAGTAAAGCTGCTGATTGGAGGATTTATTCCACGTCTGCCCACCTTATGCAGAACACTGACGCCTTACGGGATGAATGTTAGAAAAGAGAATTGTTAAAGCGAACTGTTTTGTCTCCTCTAGGCTGCCGTAGCCACACCGCCCTGACGGCTGCCTGAGCTCAACAACGCCTCCGGTTAAGAAACACCAGACGTTAACTAATGGGAACAGAAGCGGGTCCCAGGCCCGCTGGTGCAGCAGGAGAAACAGGAAGAGAAAATGTCTCACTTCTGGACGTAGATGAGGATTCCCAGCATGTACTGGTCCACTTCCAGTCCTTCCAGCAAAGCCGTTTTACTGCAAACACAGACAGGTTTGGGTTAGAGCGGAACGCCGGCTGGGTTCTAGCCGACCGGGCTGCAGGACCGTTTCCCTACTTGCACACCGGGCACCTCCAGGTTCCTCTCTCACAGTTGAGCTGCAGGTAGGACTCCAGGTCGAAGCACTGCGGACAGAGGAGGAGTCAGAGGTTCAGGAAGGAGAAACATCTTTGGAAAAATCACACCTGGATTCCATCTTTCCAGAGAACGCTAAACAATCAGGTCAATCAGACTGAACAATCAGACGCTACATTGGATTTGGCGTTTTCTGGCCTTAAGTCTGGTTCTGCTCACAGTGACCTCTCTGTGAATCAGGAAGGTTCTGCGTCTGGATCAAACGTCCAGCGACGCCATCAGGACGCTCAGAAACAAACTAAACTATTTCAGTTTGTTCCGTTTATCAGTTTATATTTTTCTGATTTTTCGGGTCGTTAACTGGGCGTACTGGAACGCCATCAGCGTCACAATCCAGGCGTGGGACGGCGCTTTGATGCATTCAACTTCTCTGTGCTCTGATTGGTCGCCTCGCCTCTCACCTGTATGTGTCGGCAGTCGTGGCCTCTGGCGGGCAGCTGGATCCGTCTGAAGGTGATGGGACATTTTAAGGACACCTTGATGGCCGTCTGCTCCACGCCGTCCTCTCCGTTCAGCCCGGGGGTCCCAGGAATGGAGCCGCTGCTGAAGTTTCGCTTAACTGAGGGGACAGACACAGGAGTCAGAGGATGGCGGTCGGGTCTGGACCTCTGGACCTGGAGACAGACTCACTCTTGGTGACGCAGTGCTCTGCAGGCAGCAGCCTCTTCTTCATCAGACCCTGCAGCACAGACCGGACGGACGGGCGGTGGACCAGCTGCAGGACGAACAGGTGGGACTGAGGACAGAGAGACGGCCAATCAGAAGTAGAACCTCTGAGAAGGTTCTTTACAGTCGACTTTACACGAGTTAATACAGTGAATATGATTGGTCGATTATCAAGGGGGCGGGATTGTTGTAGCGGAGAGTTCAAGAGCAGTTTGGTTGTGGCCGGTTTGTGGGAAGCATCTTGCTAACCAGTTAGCATCTTAGTGCTAGCAGGTTCCCAATGGGAAATTCCATTGGGACCAAGTAGCACTAAATTGGTGACTTAGAAACGACGCTGTCAAGGAATGCTATGGACAGAGGAAACATGCAAGAGGAGGAGAGTTTAGTGTCGGAGGTCGTGGATGAGTCTCCTCCGTCATCCATTTTTTATTTAGAGGAGGAAAGCGGGGACGAAGATGTTGTGGAAGAGGATGCCAGGGCGGCAGAAGCTTGGTTTGGTGTAGAAGGCTTCCAGCCGTACATGTTTGAGCCCTTGCCTCGCAACGCTGCCAGTTCTGTTAGCTCTACGCCTGCCGAAGACACAGACGTCCATCCCCGTGAACACTGGGACGCAACTCAATGGGAAAGGAAAGGATTCTGATTTCAACCGTTGCGTATATTAGCTGCGACAGATTAATCAAGATGCTATGACCGAAAACATTTGATTGACAGATGAGCGTTGATATATGATTGGCCGAATTTAGGTGTTCAGGCCGATGTAGAACTAACTGGCCTGCAGAAGATAACGGAAAAACAGATTTTAAAACGGGATAATTTTTTTAAAAATAAGTTTTCTAAATGTTGTGATAATCTGGTCTGAAGAGAATGATTTGACATTTAAATATGACTTCCCTACGACTTAAGAAAGATAAATGGAGTGGATGCTTCAAACATCAGAAACTCTTCGGTGTTTCCAGACCGCTTTAAGACCAAAGGTTGGTTCTGGTCCCTCCTGGCTGAGGCAGCGCTGACCCGGCCCAGCCTCCCCGTGTTCCGGTTCTGTGCGGTTCTTACGCAGCAGCAGGCGGTGACGGTGATCTGGATGGTGTTCCTTCCCGGCTGGCACACCTGCTTCAGGTACAGGGGCTTGTGGGAGGTCTTGTTGTCTCCTCGTTTGATGTTGAGCGGTGTGGCGTTGACGCTGACCTGAGGACGAAACAAAGACCTTCAGTCTGAAAGCAGCAAACCATCAGAACCAGCAGCAGAGAGGACGGAGGTCCAACCTGGACAGAGGCAGGCCAGTTGGTGTTCATCTGCCGGTCCTCATGGTGGTAACACTTGAACTGGAGCTCCAGGTCGGGCCTAAACACAGACTGAGGTTAGATCTCAGGACACGTCCGGCGCCGTTCGTATTCGGGGGGCGGTTACCTCATGATGAGCGTCTTGTAGACGGACTCGCGCAGCTGGAACACGTGGTTGCTTACAGCCAGGTTGTGCTCCAGCCGGAACGGCTCCAGAACCACGCCGTCCCTGACCGGGAAGTTCAGGCGCAGGTCGTCACTCGGGTTACCTGAAAACAGGAAGTCAGACAAGTCCTTACCCGGGGCACTTCCTGAATCCTCACAACCCAAACATGCAGACTAACCCGATTTTAAACGTTTTACGGAACATGAGCTCGGATTGGTGACACCATTGGAGCATTCGACTTAAGAGTCTCAATGTTTTATCTTTTATTGTTAATTTTGAAGATCAAAAATCATAGATTTTCTAAACTGAATGAAGGTAGATATCGCCACGTTGCAGGCGAACCATTTTAAGCCCAAAGATGTTCAAACCAGTGCCATGGTCTTCCTGCTCTTAAACAAAGAGAGTATTTATAGTGATGAAAGGTAATTTAAATGTATCTGCTGGTAGAACGGCATTTAGTGGCATTTCAATTCATGACAATAAAATGGCCTTAATTAGTTTACATGCACCAAATTAATCTGAGAGAGACTTCTTTCCCTCAGCCACAAAGCAGCTTCTTAAACACACTGAATACCAGCTGTATGTAGGTTCTGATGTGAATTCACAGGTTGATGTAGATCTAGATGCAGCTTCTAGAGCACTTTATCTATCCCTATCAGATTTAAATATTAAGGATATTTGGAGGGTTCACCAACCAGCAGTAAAGGTTTACACATTCGGTTAGACCTGGCACAAAACATTTCTACGTATCGACTATAGTTTAGTATCATCTGATCTGGTCCCTCTTGTTAACTCAGTTTAGAGGATGGAGGTTTAATACGACTCTTCTTAGATGTGAGGATTTTTTTAAATGAATCAGAAACCAATTAACTGGATTTATATCTCTGAACAAAAACTATTAATAATGAGACACTAATTATGGCATCAGTTAAAGCCGCTGTCACACCTCGACGATTTAGACCAGCGAATGGCTGCAAACGGGAAATTTGACAAAAACACTGGATAAGTTCTAGGGGTGGAACGGTTCACAAAATCCACGGTTTCGTGGTCACGGTTTTCGGTTCGGTATATATTAGGGATGCACGATATAATGGGCCTCCTATCGGTATCGGCCTTAAAACTGAAC